GCGAGAGAGGGAACACAAGCAGGGGGAGTGGGAGAGGGAGAAGCAGGCTTCCTGCTGAGCAGGGAGACCTATGCAGGGCTCGATCCCAGAACCCTGGGATCATGACCTGAGCCGAAGGCAGACGCTTAACGACTGAGCCACCCAGGCGCCCAATTATTATTATCTTTTTATTGTTGTTGCAAAAAGGTGGTTTTATTAAAGCACAGGGACAGGACCCGTGGGCAGAAAGAGCTGCTCAGTACATACCATAATTAAAAATACTTTATTGTTGGCACATCTGGGTGGCACGGTTGGCTGAGCATCTGACTCTTGGTTTCGGCTTAGGTGGTGAGCTCAGGGTCATGAGATTGAGCACCGAATCAGGCTCCATACTCAGCACGGAATCTCCTGGGGACTCTCTCTCCCTCTCCTCCCGCCCCTTCTTCCTATTCTCTCTCTCTCTTCCTCACTCTAAAGTAAATAAATAAATCTTTGAAAAAAATACTTTATTGCTAAAAAATGCTAATCGTCATCTGAGCTTTCAGCAAGTCATAATCTTTTTGCTGGTAGAGAGTCTTGCCTCAGTGTTGATGGCCATTGACTGATCAGGGTGGTAGTTGCTGAAGGTTAGGGTAGCCATGGCAATTTCTTAAAATAAGACAACAGTGAAGTTTGCTGCATCGGACTGACTCTTCCTTTCATGAAAGATTTCTCTGTGGCATGCAATGCTGTTTGATAACATTTTACTCATAATAGAACTTCTTTCAAAATTGGAGTTAATCCTCTCAAACCCTGCTGCTGCTTTATCAAATAAGTTTATGTAATCTTCTAAATCCTTCGTGGTCATTTCAACAGTCTTCACAGTGTCTTCACCAGGAGTAGATTCCATCTCAAGAAAACCATCTTCTTTGCTCATCTATAAGAAGCAACTCTTCATCTATTAAAATTTTATCATGAGATTGTAGCAATTCAGACACATCTTCAGGCTCCACTTCTGATTCTAGTTCTCTTGCAATTTCCATCACATCTGCAGTTAACTTCCTTCACTGAAGTCTTGAACTTCTCAAAGTCATCCATGAGGATTAGAATCAACTTTTAAACTCCTGTTAATGTTGGAATTTTGACCTCTTCCCATGAATCACAGATGTTTTTAATGGCATCTAGAATGGTGAATTCTTTCCAGAAGGTTTTTAATTGACTTTGCCCAGATCCATCATCTTTAGCTCGATTTAAATGTGTGTGACTCTTTCTTTCCCTTGAACGCATAGAGGCCATTGTAGGGTCATCAATTGGCCTCATTTCAATTATTGTTGTGTCTTAGAATAGAGAGGCCCAAAGAGAGGGAGAGAGATGGAGGAAGAGCTCGTTGGTGGAGCAGTCAGAACCCCACAACATTTATTGATTAAGTTCATTGTTTTACATGGGCATGGTTCGTGGTGCCCCCAAACAATTGCAGTAGTTTTATCAAAGATCATTGATCACAGATCACCATAACAAACATAATAATGATGAAAAAGTTTGAAATATTCTGAGAATTACCTAAATGTGATACAAAAAACACAAAGTAAGCAAATGCTGTTGGGAAAATAGTGTGCTGGTAGACTTGCTTGACATAAGGTTGCCACAAATCTCCAATTTGTAAAAATGTAATACCTGCAAAGCACAATAAAATGAGCCTGTAACTTCCACTCAATTTTCTTGTGAACCTAAAACTGTTCTAAAAAATAAAGTCTATTTTTAAAAATACAAAAGAAGGAAAAAAATTACTTTGAAAATTGTGACTACATAGATAAAACTATAAACATATATCCATATTCAATCTGATATCCTTTTTGTATCAAAAAAAGTATGGTCCTAAAAGCAAGAATATGAAAGAATGAAGTATTTATTAAATTTAAAAAGCTTTAAATATAGACCAAAATGACAATTACATTAAGGTTACCTCCCACAATTTAAAAAAAAAAAAGCAGCATTCTATCAATGCTGGAGTAAACTGTAGACTTTGGTCGGCAATTGGAAGAATTAGCTAATACATGATGTAAATGCAGGGATAACACAATAACTCATTGGATAACTTGAAGTTACCTAATCAATTACAAATTAGGGCCAGGGCAAGAAATCAATCTGCAGAAATCTCTGGTTTCCAAATTATGTTTCATCAACTACCTGCTAAGATATCTGCCGACAGTGCTCAGGGTAACATATAGTTTTCTTAGTGTTAAAGCATCTTTCACTTGAAAAGAATTTGGGATTAATCAAAGAAATGTTTAAGATAATCAAATCCATTTTAAAGCTTTTATATTAAAGAATTTTCACCTTTTTTGTTATTTTATTATTTAATATAATATGACCTATTAAAGTATGAGACCAATTTTGTCAATCTAATTTTTTTTTTTTAAAGATTTTATTTTTTTGTTTGACAGAGACAGACACAGTGAGAGAGGGAACACAAGCAGGGGGAGTGGGAGAGGGAGAAGCAGGCCTCCCATGAAGCAGGGAGCCCAATGCAGGGCTCAATCCCAGGACCCTGGGATCCTGACCTGAGCTGAAGGCAGACGCTTAATGACTGAGCCACCCAGGGGCCCCTTGTCAATCTAATTTTAAATGTGTAATTAAATAAATGATTTAAGCTTTTTGATTTAAAGTTGACATCTTACTAAGTTTTTAGAAAATAATGGGACATTCAAAGAACTAAGGCTAACTATATTATGACTTTTATGTAGACAGTCTGTTATGCACTGTGGTTTCAGATGTGTAATAATTTGCACAAGGGTTTATTCCCAATTATGCCTTAACCGGAACAATTTTTTTTCTATATAGTTCCTTGCCTTAATAAATATGTAAGATAAATTTAAGCAAACTTCTATTTTGTATATTAGTAAACTACAAAGTAAAAAAAACGAACATTTTGTGGAGTTTATATTTTGCATACTCAAGGTGAGAATTAAGTTTCAAATAAACCTGTAATATATGAAAAAAAAAAAGATTTTAGTTAAAAAAAAGTAGCCTAGGATCCAACCCTGATTATACCACTTGGTAGTACACCATATGACATCATCTTGTAGAATCTGTTACCAATGGTGATATTAAAATGTGATTTCTGCAAAAGTATCAGTAGGTAGGAAGTCCAGTTGAATTCATGCAACAACTGGTAACTCTATACTGTTAAAGACCCAGGAAAAGCTAATAAAAACCAGCCCTTTAATATTATTTAGTGTACTTGGCAGATTTCTCCGTTGGATGAAGAGTGTGGCAGGGGTCTCTAGTAGAATAGTCATACCTAAAACCTACTTGTTATGCATTAAAAAACAACACTACAGTATAAAGAGAATAGGGATTTTTCTCCTCATACCTAGCATAGTATCTGGCATTTAGTAAACCTAGTACATATTTGTTGAATTAATAGAGGAACTATTTAGCTAAGGGATTAAGATGTAAACATCTCAAAGTTAAATGATGAGACTGTGGTTCTGGAGGCATGTAAGAAGCAGGAAGTGATAAATTGCCAAGTGGATGGAAGTGAGAATAAGTGTTAAGAGCTCCAAGTAGGGAGAGACCACTGTAGGCTGTACTGGTCAAGGAAGGCTTCATGGAGAAAGTTAGTCTTAGAAAATCTTTGCTTTAAAAATACTTTGGATTTGAAGCTGTAAGAGTGGGGAATGCCATGAGATGCAAGAGTATGAGCAAAGGAACGGAAGTGAGAAAATAAAAGGCATGACTTTAAGGTGCATGTTGACCCTCTAGCATGGCAGCCTAGCTGTCCTAGAAAAGAAGAGGAGGGAAAGGTCTCAACACCAGGTTGTGGTGGTCATGCTTCTCAGGCTCAGGAGTTTGGACCCAATTCTTTTAGTAAAGAGAAGAATGAATGGTTTTTCAACAGGCAATGGTATAAAGAAAGACTTTGGTGGTTCTAGAATAAAGGTAATACGGGGGACAAGGTGTAGGATGGTGTGGGTTGGATTAGAGAAGTCAGTGTTCTTGACAGAGAATAGTTAGAAAACAGATATAAGGTAATAAAGGGCTAAGCCATGGTAAGGTCAGAGGTTATGGAAAAAGACAGACTCCTGCAACATTGTAAAGGAAGAAGTAATGGGACTGGTGACCACATACAAAGGAACGATAAGAGTACCTTTATGAATGTGGAAAACAAGGGTAAATTTTCAGAAAGAAGTATACATCTGTAGGTTGTTTATATTTTTAGTTTAATTTTATTGTTGTTTATACCAAGTGAGTTGGAATTAGTATCTATATCAGAAGATAGTGTGGAGAAAAGTTTACTTTTTCAAGAGAGAAAAGAACTTTTTGCAACTCAAAGTATAACTGGAATGCATTGCTCATAGGGGTTTAACTCTTAGGTATTATAATATTAGAATCTTGGCTTTTCCAAATAAATCTGGTAAGAGTTAAGCAACACAAACCTAGAGGGATAATGTATAGACTGATGAGCTGGAATGTTGCAGTCTGCTGGGCTCTTTGGGAGACTTTTCATAGAGAAGAGCCCAAGACACAAACAGGTTGTGCTGTCCAGGAAGTCAAGTTCTCTGCCAGTGCACTTGAAGGGAACAACTACAGGAATTTTTTTTTTTTCATGTTTTTTAATGTGTCCCTGCTGGTAAATATGCTTCAGGAGAGGATGAACAACTCCTGGCCAAGGAGGAAGCAGCTTTAAAGAAAGCAAAGCCAAAACAAAGAATTGGCAGGACTCTTCAGAGGCTGGGTAGTATTGTTCAGGCCAGCCTGGCCTTCCTGTCTCATGGGATTCTCAAACATTTTTTGTTTTTAACTGACAAATATTGTAACAGCTTAGGACCTGGATTTCATGTCTATTTCCATGCAGAACCCACTACTCTAATTCTGAAATCAAGTACTCCCTATTAGCATCCTAATCCTCCCAGCCAATGCCTCTAAAACAATGAAATGAATTCCTCTCTGATGGAGAGAATAATGAGTCCGCTTCACCAGAAACAACCAGAGTCCTTTATTCCTTTAAAGCACTTTCAACTATCCCCCTTTATTTGTAGGCAACAGAACAAATAAAATGGAGCTATCTTGCTCAGCCATGTGAGGACAAATGATCCAGAGCCTAAAATACACTGAAGATGTGCAGCACTTTCACACACACGGACCCATGTGGCAACTGTGGGTGAGCAAATTCATGCTCAGGCTGTTGACTGTTGAATATCTATAGCAAAATTATTCTGTGTCCAAATGCTACGCTAAGCAAATATAGTCAATTTTACATACCTGTTATTCTCGTAGCAGGGGAATGCTTTGCTTAAATTCTTTGGGGAGGGGGCAGTGGTTTTGTTGGCTCTTTTATTTTTATTTTTTTAAAGCTTTTATTTATTTGAAAGAGAGAGTGAGAGAGAGAGCACGAGTGGGGTGAGGGGCAGAGGGAGAAGCAGACTCCCTGATTATCGTGACCTGAGCCGAAGGCAGACACTTAACTGACTGAGCCACCCAGGCGCCCCCATGTTGGCTCTTTTAGAAGAAACAAAATTCTTTCCCTCTTGAGAAGAAAACTAGAGAAATAGAGAAGAGGAAGGAGAAGATTTGCAAAGTGATTAAAAGAAAAAACAATTGTATTTAGAGGGTTTGGAACGAAACCTTCTTTCAGGTTTGGAACTAAAACTCCTTTGGTGTAGCTGCTGGTTTTTTTTTTTTTAATGTGCAGAATACATGTTTTATTTTTTTTCTTAAGTTTAATTTCAGGAAAATTTTCTTGAGTTGCAGACTTTTTAAAATATATTTTGTTCTATTTCCTTACTTTGGTTCTTCAAGGACTTCTATAATTCATATGTTCACTGTTCTTCATACAATTTTAATAATTGTCACTTATTCTCAAATATTTAACTCTTTATTTACTTCTTAAAGTTTTTTTCTCTCATTTTTAATATTCTATTTATTTTGAGTCATCATCTGTTATCTTAATTTACTCTTGTGCTTTTTATAATTTAATTGCTCTGCATCGTTTTCTCAGGTACATGTTTCTGGCCTGCTTTCACTATTAGTAGGAACATTAGTCTGCAACTTATTACCTTTTTTTTTTTTTTTTTTTTATGGTGTGAAAATAGAGGGTAAGTATCTCAGGGTAATCTGTAAAATTTAACCTTGTGCCAATGGGATCAAATTTTATTTTGATACCATCAATAACATCTAGCTGTTCTTTCTCAAGTTTAAAGAAAACCTGGTTTCTTAGGTGTAGCTCTCAAGTTATTTTGCAGCTCCAGTTGTGAAACACTCTGATTAAGCCACTCTGAAGCAATAGTCTAACAAGTTGTTAACTACAACCTTATACCGGGAACCAGCCATGGTTGTCAGTTAGCTGCAGCCCCGGATCATTGAATCCAGTCGCTAGAAGCCAGTTGTCATTAACAGTTTACAAAATCTAAAAGAAGGGGCGCCTGGGTGGCTCAGTCGTTAAACGTCTGCCTTCGGCTCAGGTCATGATCCTGGGGTTCTGGGATCGAGCCCCGCATCTGCTCTCTGCTCAGCGGGAAGCCTGATTCTCCCTCTCCCACTCCCCCTGCTTGTGTTCCCTCTCTCGCTGTGTGTGTCTCTCTGTCAAATAAATAAAATCTTTCAAAAAAAAAAAAAGAACAGGATTGCTTTCCCTCAGCAATTTCATCTCTTCATCATCTATTCAATTCCATCCCTCATTCTGTTCTCACCTCTCTAGTTCTTGAATAATCTGCTATACAATCTTTTGAATCACCCTTAGTGTTTTCATTGGTTGTAGATGGAATCTCATTTTATTGGTGCTTTGCTGAACACCAGTTTCATTAAAATGATATTTAAATGGAATTTAATTTGGGTGGGAGTGAAAGAGAAAAGGGAAACTAAGGGGGGGTTTATGCTACTAAACTACTGAAACAAACAATTCTAAAGGTATAATCTCTTAAACTTATTGGGGAGGCATTAATGGACATTTTCCATTTAGTAGCATGTTGGGGGCACCTCATGGAATATTGCAGTTGATAAGACCCTTTGAGATAAACATGATAGTACTGCACCTATAGTCATGCTGTGATCTTAGCTTCTAAATTTTTTTATTTTTAAAGATTTTATTTATTTATTCATTTGAGAGAGGCAGAGACAGCGACAGAGCAAGAGTGGGGAGAAGATGGAGAAGCAGGCTCCCCGCTGAGCAAGGAGCCTGATGCAGGATTAGATCCCAGGACCCTGGGATCATGATCTGAGCCAAAGGCAGGTGTTTAACCGACTGAGCCATCCACATACCCTGTGATCTTAGCTTCTAAAATCTCTTTTCAGGGCGCCTGGGTGGCTCTGTCAGTTAAGCATCCTTCAGCTCAGGTCATGATCTCAGGGTCCTGGGATCAAGCCCCACGTTTGGCTCCCTGCTCAGCGGGGAGTTTGCTTTTCCCTCTGCCCCACCCCCTGCTCATGCTCGCTCTCTGTCTCTGCCTCAAATAAATAAGTAAAAATTTTTAAAACAATAAAATCTCTTTTCAAATTTTGCTGAATTTTATTTATTTTTTTAATGAGAATTCTTTTTTTTTAAGATTTTATTTATTTATTTGAGAGAGAGAGCATGAGTGGGGTGAAAGGCCGAAGGAGAAGCAGACTCCCTGCTGAGCAGGGAACCCGATGGTGGGCTCAGTCCCGGGACTCCTGGATCATGACCTGAGCTGAAGGCAGATGCTTAAATGACCGGGCCACCTAAGCGCCCCAAATTTTGCCGAGTTTTAAATAGCCTGTGGAACTTTACAAAACCCCAAAGTCCAGGCCAAACTCAGAATCTCTTCCTAGAGATTCCAAAGTGCAAAGAGGTTGAGAAGTTCTCAATCCTTAATGTCCGTATAAATCACCTGAGGATCTTGTGAAAAATGCAGATTCTAGGGCGCTTGGGTGGCTCAGATGGTTAAGCGTCTGCCTTCGGCTCAGGTCATGATCCCAGGGTCCTGGGATCGAGCCCCACATCGGGCTCCCTGCTCCTTGGGAGCCTGCTTCTCCCTCTGCCTCTCTCTCTCTCTCTGTCTCTCATTAATAAATAAATAAAACCTTTAAAAAAAAATGCAGATTCTAACTCTGTAGATCTAGGGTGGAGCACAAGATTCTGCATTTCTAACCAGCTTCCCAGGTAACACCCACACCACTTCCTCTCTGGCCCCTCAGTAGCAAGGGAGAGATTAGACAGATGGTCCAGATCAAACTTGGGTCCAGACACAATCACCTGGGGAATTTGGTAAAACAGCAAAGGCCTAGACCTCTTCCTGCTTCAGAGAAACTGGGCCTCCGTGATTCTTGTTAGCTTCCAGGTTATTCTGATGCAGGTTAAGACCCAAGAACTGCTGATCTAGATTGCTGTCTAATCATTGCCCTGCTTGTCCAAACTTTCTTGTTGCTTCTCTTGTTTCCTTTCCTGTACCTTCTGAAATCCTAGAATACAAGTACCAGAAGAAATTAAAAAATCTAAAATAATGGGTTTCAATGTAGTCCAACATTGAGTATACAAAATACATTACTCAATTCGAAAAAAAAGAGCACAGATTGTGTGGCAGATACGTCCTGCCAAACAACCCTGTCCGAAGAGATTTGACATTTTATTTGCAAAATCTCATTTTGACTCATGGTATGCAATAATCTTTATCTCCCTCAATGTTCAATCTTACATCTCCTCAACTTGAAGCTCAATCTTTTTTTTTTTTTTTTTAAGATTTTATTTATTTGACAGAGAGAGAGACACAGCGAGAGAGGGAACACAAGCAGGGGGAGTGGGAGAGGGAGAAGCAGGCTTCCCGCCGAGCAGGGAGCCCAATGCGGGGCTCGATCCCAGGACCCTGGGACCATGACCCGAGCCGAAGGCAGATGCTCAACGACTGAGCCACCCAGGCGCCCCTCAATCTTATATATATGGTGTTTCTGCATATTTTAAGGATGACTCTACTTAAAACTATAACAGTATCACCAAATAGCCTTATTGAATTAAGTATATCAAAAGAGATTATCTGGTCTGTAGATTGTATTTTGTCATAATATGCTATTTTCTACTGTATCTTAGGGCCCATACTTGTGATACATTAAGAAAATCTGTATACACACACACACCAAAAAAAAAAAAAAAAGAAAGAAAGAAAGAAAAAAAGAAAATCTGTATGCTTTTTCCCCTAGCAGACAGATATGACGTCTCCTGGCATGGTGGGCTTTATAAAATATTGTGTTGATTTTTTTTGTTCTTTTAATATTAATGATAGCTCACATTTACTGTGTACTTACTAACTGCCAGCTGCTTTTCTAAACACTTCATTTACGTGTGTTAACTTATGTTGGCCTCCCAGCAACCTCAGAGATGGGTGTCCTTTTTTTGACAGATGAGGAAACCAAGAAGTTGACCAAAGTGACAAACTGATAGAGTAGGGCTGGGAGCTGAAGCCTGGCAGTCTCGTTGCATAATTTCTGCATCGTACTAGTTTTAGTGTTTTTGTTTACCTGCACATGTCTCTTCATTAGATGCTTGTATGTCTAACTTCCTCTTTGAATAGGCTTTGTTTTTTTGGAGCAGTTTTAGATTCACAGCAAAATGGGACAAAGAGTGCAGAGAGTCCCCACATAACCCCTGCCCCTCCACATGTCACAGCCTCCCGCACTATCTATATACCCATCCAGAGTGGTACATCTCTTACAAGTGATCAACATACCTTGATAGCATTGTCATTTATGATCCCAAGTCCTTAGTTTATGTCAGGGTTCACTCTTGGTGTTGAAAGTAATATGGATTTTGACAAATGTACAGTGATGTGTATCCACTATTATAGTATCATACAGAATAGTTTCACTGCCCTAAAAATCCTCTGTACCTTAACTATTGTCCTCCCTCTCTCCTCTCTCTGGCAATCACTGATCTTTTAACTGTCTGTGCAGTTTTGCCTTTTCCTGAATTCCATCATACAGTATGTAGCCTTTCTAGATTAGCTTCTTTTACCTGGTAACAGGCATTTAAGTTTCCTCCACGTCTTTTCATGGCTGATAGTTCATTTCTTTTTAGTGCTAAAATGCTAAAATGCTAAAACATCCCAGTCAGCCTATTGTTGACTGGAAGCCTTACTGATTTTATAACATTTTATGCTATATTATACCATTTTTAACATTTTATACCATATTCTTACAGTAAAGTAAGCTAGA